GATACTTACAAGTTACAAGGAAATAATACTCTATGTTGACCTTAAACAGTTATACATTGTAAAAAGATTATTTAAAAAAATTTTTTTGTCATACCAATATACAATAGAACTTTTGATTATATTACAATTTGTCATAGATATTTTAGTTTCATATCTAACAATGACAAAGATATACCTTTTTACAACTAACAGTACTAAAACAGTGCTAAGCGTTTAAAACACTTGACTGTATACAAGAAAAAGTTCAGATTTATAAAAATTAGTTAAAGGACCACACTGCTGACAATGGAATCAAATAAGTATGTCCAAGAGCATGTTTGCAGAAAATATATATATATTTTTAACCACATCTAATTATTTTTGTTACTATTGAAATCAGCGTTAAAACATAATTTGTTTTGAAAAAGAAAAATGTGTGACAAGTTCGTTGTTGTATTACATAGTAGTTTATTTTAATTTATAATTCTCAAGACATGCCAGACTAATAGCATTTTGGCTGCAAAGCCACCCTCTCTGAATGGTGGTTAAATTTATTGAACCAGGTTGTAGGCAAAAGTATGGAATTATTAAATAAATAAAACGACTTTATAAAGTATTAAATGGCCTATAATTGTACTTCATACTAACATTTGCACGGTATTACTAGTATTTGCATACACCTTCTAGTAGCAGACTTTTTCTATACAGTATTTAAATTCTTAAACAATTATTTTTCCTTAGTAGGTGGCTTGTGTCCAGGTTTTGCGTTACCCAGCCAGACATGTCTTTGTTTTGAGTCTCAAATGTAGTTTCTTGTGAATACTCATGCTGAACTCAGTATGAGGATGATCAGAGGTATGATTGTTCATGACATATATGGCCAGACACATACTCATAAGGCAGGGTATTTTTGAGATGTGTGAAAGTGATTTAATTGTGTACTAAAATGGATCTTAACATTCTAAACATTAAAGAAGGTGAAAAGGTACAGTATGATGAAAAATGTTAAAGACATACACTTACGTCTTATGGAAATACAAATTTATGAATACATATTTCATATTATTTAGCTGGCTTAGGATCATCTTGTTAACACCTCTTAATGTCAAAGCAATCTTGGTGTCAGGCTAAACGAGGACAGTGGTGAAATATAAGAGGCTATTTTAAATTATACTAGTGGCTTGTAGGGACATATAAGTCCTTTTTAGTAGAATACAATGCCGCAAACCGCACTTCAAAAGGTTGATCCTGCGCAAAATGGCAGATGTTCAAAGATTTCTTGAATCCGCCATTTTGAATCTTTGAACGACTGCCATTTTTTACTCATGCATTCTTTTGAGCTTGAATTTACGGCATCGTAATCTAAAAGTGAAGACCTTTAATTTGATGTGCATATCGACCTAATCTTACGTTAACAATTTTCTTCCGATTCCTAGGGCTGGCTCAGGGGGCACCCCTGAGGAGAAAGCGTATAATAGCAAAGTAAATTAAATGAATCTTTTAACAACTGTCATTTTGCGCAGGATCCACCTTTTGAAGTGCTGTTTGCGGCATTTCCTCCTCTCCCTTGCATTTTTCTTTTTCATTATCATCTTGGGAAAAGCCATGTTAATAAGGTGATTTATCGTGTTCTCAAAAACTGAGTATTTATCATTTATATTATGTACATTTAAACTTATTCCCAATTTTCATTTTCTATCAATATCTTAAAGTATTCTTTAGCAGCAGGCGTGAATTTTCTACAGACCTTTGACCTAGGTAGTGAAGTTTTTGTGTTTGAAAGCATTAAAGTGGCAAGTTGGGTGTGTTAATGTTAAACGGTTAGTGCTTACCACACCTCAAACCTCGTTATCAATCCTCATAGTTTTATCCTGAGCAATATTTTTATGGTCGTGACAAAAACCATGCTTTTGCATTTTTACCAAACTGTGTGCATAGTAAAATAAATATTTTATTTTGTAACTTCCATTTTATATTCCATGTATGTATAGTCCTGGTTACACTAAAATATATTTCTCATGTGGACGTATTCTATTAAAATATTGGATTGTCAATTACGGGTCTGGAAAATTGTAAATTCTTGCACATTGCATTTCTATGTATAATATGTTAACGATCTTTCTACCGAAAAAAAATCACTACCATAAAATAAACACGACAGCAGCTGTCGCCGCCAAGCGGTTACGACATTACGGTCCCCAGGGCTTCATTGTACAGAGCAACTGTCGTTGATCTCTTTGCATGTTAGTGTCACTTCGTACTGTGACCTTACAGTGATTGCAATCTTGGTTGTACAAAGTCCAGATTCCCAGTTTATCATTGTTTTTGCACACATACTCCTTAAAAATAATTTTAAAATTCGTTTCCAAGGCCGAGAAAACTAAAACATATCATGTAAACGTCAGCCTTAAGTCCCTGGTTTTCTGATTGTCTATCAATGATTTTTTTTTTCAGAAACGCAAACGTAACTTTGGCATCCCATTTATGATAAACATTTTACTTCGTACATGTTTGTTGACAATTTATTTATTTGCACACAAAGTATCAAACTTCCCCTATATACCGATTCGAAATGGCTGCCATTTAATTTGTTTTTACTAAACATCTTAAAAAAGAGTACTTTTGTAATATAATATAAAGAATATTAAATTTTTATAAAATTTTCGCTACTTAATAAAAAAAAAATACTCTATTAGTTTCCTTGTAGCAGCAAACCTAGGTACTCATTAAACCTAATGTTATTCATTCAAATATTTAGATTAAATTGAAAATCAATTCAGACGTATGGAAATTTGCTTAGGCAACAGGTTTGCTGCGGTGGGGATATTTTAATTTATTTCCATTGTTCCACTGATGAGGTACTAGATATGGACGACTTATGGTCCTATAAATACCTCCGCTGCAGCAAACCTGCAGACTAAGTGAGCTTCAATTTGTCTGATTGGATTTTTACTAAAATATTTCTCAAACAATACATGTTTATTCCCATTTAAATAACATTAGATTTAACGAGTGCCTAGGTTTGCTGATATGGGGAAGGTAAACAGTGTTTCTTTGACCAATGTCACGGACTAATGTATACACTAAGTAAGTAGACGTACTAGTTAAAAAAAAAAAAAAAAAAAATTATTAGCGTTTCGCACTTGCCTTTGCTTGATCTCTAATTTCGTTAATAACATAAAATTACATCTAATTTCGATTGTAACTTTACCCCTTGACCCTTAAACCAGATGTTTAATATCAAAATTTGTAATAGTTTACTTTTTTTAAAACAGTTTCTTTACCTATTCTATGATCGAAAAGGAATTAAGACTCTACACAATTTACAGTATTAGAGCCTACACCATAGTATGGAAATAAAAAGTACCATATTAAAATCCCCGATTCCAAATCAAATTCCCTCCCTCATGTGTCTCAAGGGTACTACGCGTGCAACAGTCTAAATTACTTATAAAAATATGCTAGATATTTAACAACTATAATGACTTGCGGTTCTAATACCCGAAATATTTTAGGAATTCGGCATTTTACAATTTCAACCCCTCCCCCAAAACAGTTGATAGAAAACAGTTTCTTAATCACTTCCTCAACCACTAAAGACTAGTGTCGGTAAGGCAGTACACGTTAGCCGGTAATAAAGGATGATAGTTTGGTTCTCGCTCTGGTTTTTGTCAACTGATTAGACTACATGTTGGACTTTGTGATCGCATAGAGTGTAAATCAAGTGCCTTGAAACAAATCAGTAATACTCTTTTTGTCTATGGTAATAATTTCTCTCCCTATACCATAGTATATGGAGAAAGTATTTTTTCGTCAAAATTGTCGAGTTTGAGTTTTGAGTGGATATATTCGTTTTGGGTGTTGGGTCCCCCTGGATCCAAAAAAGTGGTTTTCATATGGATGTCTGAGTGTGTGCGTGTGTGTGTGTGTGTGTGTGTGTGTGTGTGTGCGTATCTCCAGGCGTTTTTTTTTATTTTTTTTTTAAATTTAGATTTACATATAATGGGGGTTTTTTCCCCATAAAAACCCGGAAAAATCGGATTTTCTCTAAAATGGCCTGAACGAATCTGATAAAATTTAGTACTTTGTAGCCCTTTTAAGTTCTGAACAAAATGGTACAAATCCCATTTTTGTAAAAATTACGGTTCAAAAGTTATTGTAAATTATGTTATTTTCCCATAAAAACCCCATAAAATACCGGAAAAATCGGATTTTCCCGAAAATGGCCCAATAGTACAGTCAATCCGTATCCAACGTGTACAAAATTGGCGTCTGAGAAATTTTGTCTGAAATTTATGTTTTTTGGGTCGCTGAATCCGAATCTGAACTGAAGTTGTCCAACAAATATTTCTTGAGCGTTCCGAGATATTTGCAAAAAACATCAAAATTTTAGCACTTTTTTCAGTTTTTATATTATAAGTCGAAAACTATGAATTCTAGCGACTTTTACCCCTTACAAAATGAAAGTGGGCAAAATCTCCTTCAAAATGCACTATTCACCCTTGAAAATCGATTAGAAATAACCTCCGCTAGAGCGCATTGAAAATTGGTTATTTTTCTAACTTTAAAAAAATTCAAGCTTTTGGTCTGGTTTTTAATAAATACTCAGCAAAAACCCACCCCCTTCCATCTCATAACTATCTCAACCCCTATCTCATCAAACCTCCCCCCCCTCAGCATAAAATACCCTACCATACCACACGCTCTCCCCAAACCCCCACCAATCATTTGACTTATCTTGAACGGAATTTGATAAATAATGTTAGAGGTAGGTTTCTATGGTAATGATTACAATTTATTCATAGTTCATATTCACTATATCTACATAACTAACATTATTTTTTAAATGTGCACGTATAATCAAGTGCTCAGGCGGGGGCGTTTAGGCCCAAGTGCTGTTCGAAAAAGGGATGAAACTAAACGTTTCTCAAGAACATTTCTTGGGAAATGATCGGAATAAGAATCGGTTCATATCCCTACTCAAGGATAAGCTTGCCAATTCAAACATATGGTGTGAGCAGGCAGAAGAGGACGCAGATCGACTGATCATCACTACAGCCATCAATCTGTCTGCTCAAAGTAGTTCAGTCACTGTTGTTGGAGAAGATATCGATATTCTGGTGCTACTAGTGGGCTTAGCATCACCAGCCAACGTATTTCTTTTCAAGCCTGGGAGAGGGAAAGCCAAACCACTTTGGTACCATCCTCAGAGCCTGGTCAGTGAAAGGATCGCCTAGAACATCCTTTTCGTTCATGCAGTGACCGGCTGTGACACCACGTCCGCACTATACGGCCAAGGAAAGGCTAAGGGTTTGAAGTTGCTGGACAAACACCCCCAGCTGTCTTCCCAGCTAGCCCTTTTCAGGACACCTTCCCATGACTCGACCTTTAATCAGGATTCCATGTTAGAGGCAGGAGAGTCTTTCTTAGCAGCCTTATACGGGGGAATTATCAGCGCACACCTGGACGACCTAAGGTACAAGGTATACAAGACAGCACTTTTCAAGAACTCGGTTAAAATGGAATCCCTGCCTCCCACAACGAACGCTGCTCATATTCACCTCCTGAGGCCTGAACAGTTAGGCTGGAAAAGAACTGTCAATGGACTTCAGCCCATCCTATCCACAAAGCCTCCTGCCCCCGAAAGCTTACTTTCGATTAATTGCATGTAAATGCCAAAAAGGCTGCAACACTAAAGTATGTAGCTAATTTGCTAAAGGCTGGGCTATTTTGCTCTAGACTCTGTGCCCATTGTGAGGCCTCTGAATGCAGTAACGTGGACCAGAGAGATCCTGATGACTACCACGAGGAACTCGATGGGCACAACCTGGAAGTAGATGATATAGAAGAATCGCCAGAGCCACAGGAGCCACAGTCAGGACCATCTTGCGCAGGGCCTAAACGCCCCCGCCTGAGTACTTGATTATACGTGTACATGGGAGGATGGTACCAAAGTGGTTTGGCTCTCCCTCTCCCAGGCTTGAAAAGAAATACGTTGGCTGGTGATGCTAAGCCCACTAGTAGCACCAGAATATCGACATCTTCTCCAACAACAGTGACTGAACTACTTTGAGCAGGCAGATTGATGGCTGTAGTGATGATCAGTCGATCTGCGTCCTCTTCTGCCTGCTCACACCATATGTTTGAATTGGCAAGCTTATCCTTGAGTAGGGATATGAACCGATTCTTATTCCGATCATTTCCCAAGAAATGTTCTTGAGAAACGTTTAGTTTCATCCCTTTTTCGAACAGCACTTGGGCCTAAACGCCCCTTGATTATACGTGCACATTTAAAAAATAATGTTAGTTATGTAGATATAGTGAATATGAACTATGAATAAATTGTAATCATTACCATAGAAACCTACCTCTCTAACATTATTTATCACATTCCGGTCAAGATAAGTAAAATGAACGGTGGGGGTTTGGGGAGAGCGTGTGGTATGGTAGGGTATTTTATGCTGAAGGGGGGGAGGTTTGATGAGATAGAAGGGGTTGAGATAGTTATGGGATGGAAGGGGTGGGTTTTTGCTGAGTATTTATTAAAAACCAGACCAAAAGCTTGAATTTTTTTAAAGTTAGAAAAATAACCAATTTTCAATGCGCTCTAGCGGAGGTTATTTCTAATCGATTTTCAAGTGTGAATAGTGCATTTTGAAGGAAATTTTGCCCACTTTCATTTTGTAAGGGTTAAAAGTCGCTAGAATTCATAGTTTTCGACTTATAATATAAAAACTGAAAAAAGTGCTAAAATTTTGATGTTTTTTGCGAATATCTCGGAACGCTCAAGAAATATTTGTTGGACAGCTTCAGATTCGGATTCAGCGCCCCAAAAAACATTAATTTCAGACAAAATTTCTCAGACGCCAATTTTGTCCACGTATGGTTGATTTTTACAACGGATTGACTGGACTACAAACGATTTTGATAAAAATTTAGTATGCTACAGTCTTCAAATTCTGAATAAAATGGTACAAATCCCATTTCCGTATATTTTCTCACCGCTTACACGTGATAAAAGTTGTTGACAAACTCATGGGAGAAAGTATGTGTCAGAATGCTGATACCGTTTAGTTTTTATTTGAAATGGATAGAAAAGATAGAAATACTCTGTTTGTGGAGTTGATTGTTAACATAGACTCCGCATTTTTTTAATCAACAATATTTTTTAACCCCTTTAACAGGATGTGGTGATTTTCTTTTATAACGACCCCTATTGAGACGAGACGTTACCGACAGACCGCCACCGGCCCACCACCGCGCCGTGCAGAACGCATCAAACCGTGCATAACGCATCAAACCGTGCATAGCCGAACTGTTGGAAATTGTTATCTATATCACTGTCGTTGTCAAAACGTATCGTTTGTAGGTTAAATTTTAATTAATTTAACTGTCACAACCTAACCAAACTTGCTGATATGAAAATATCGAATGAAGGTTTACTAATAACTAAAATAGTTATGTTCATAATATAAAATTATATATGTCTCAAATTCAATTATATAATTTTCAATTATTAAATTAAACTATAATAACCTAACCAAACCAACCAAACTTGCTGATAATGAAAAAAATCGGATCAAAAAGGTAATGCCTCCGGTGGGTTTCGAAACGGCTACCTTCGAATTATCAGCCCGGTGCGCTATAAACTACACCACCAAGACCGATGGCACAACGTATCGTTGCGGTAATGGTGTTCGCTCGAGTGGTGATGGGTGGTGGTGGGCGGTGGCGGTCTGTCGGCAAGGGTTTCTCTATTGAGTGACCCCTCATTTTGAAGGGTTTGTGAAAAGAAATACAATGACTTAACAACGTATCGTTGCGGTAATGGTGTTCGCTCGAGTGGTGATGGGTGGTGGTGGGCGGTGGCGGTCTGTCGGCAAGGGTTTCTCTATTGAGTGACCCCTCATTTTGAAGGGTTTGTGAAAAGAAATACAATGACGCAAACCTAAGGTAGATATTTTATCCCTAGCCTAAATAGCGGGTATTCCAAAATTTGATTTATGTGAAAAAGCACCCATTTTGGAATACCCGGAATTTTGGCTAGGGGGATTTGCGTCCATATGTTTCTTTTGACAAGTCCTTCAAAATGATCACTCAATAGGGTTTGAAAAAAAATAATCACCCCCTACCTCGTAAAGGGGGTTATAAATTTTTTTTAGTGCAAATTTTAGGATGTAAGCGTAGCATAGTGACCTCTGATGTCAAAACCTGTGGCGAAATGCGCATCAGGTAAATAACAAATCCCCTATCAGTCAAGATTTCCCTGTACACTATACATTTTGAGTATGAACAGTCTCTTTGGTTGCTTTCGTTGTTGCGATTTTCAATAATAATAATTTAATTCATTCTAGAGTTTCAACATATACTGTAATTGGGTGAATACTGATACCAGCTTTGTCGAAGGTTTAGCCGTGTGACTTGTTTATCGTAATACAAAAAGGTAGTCTGATTGGGAAATGTTTTCGTGACATATGGAAAGGCATATAAGTCTGTTGAAATTAGCTTAATTCTGGGTACAAAGATGACATTACCTTTCTCAGACCCAGTTATTATTTCTAATTTTATTTACCTTTCATAATAGGCTAGGCATATTAGGAATATAAGTGGCAGTTAGCAGAAAGTTTAGGTACAGTCCTAATCACCATTTATATATGTTTTTGGGTCGCTGAACATGAATATGAGGTTTGCTGACAGATATTATGCCCGGAACACTGTTTATTTTGTGAAAAAAAAAAACATTTGGTCACTTTTGCATGTTTTTGGGCAGAATCTCAGTAATTATGGGTTTTTGAAAAGACCCTGCTTTGTAAAATTTGAGAAGACAAAATTTACTACAAGTTTCATACATAATATTTGTTTCTACAACAAACCGTTACGCCACTAGATCACACTAAAAGTGACCAGAAATAAAAAAAATATAAAAATAAACGCTAAATGATTCAGTTTACATTAGGTTTACGCGGAAACAACCCCAGTTACAATAGTTTTAACCATTAATTCATGATAATAAACTCAAACTGTAGATAAAAAATGTTTGATCTATGCTTAAGCGAAATTAAAAATAAACTAACTAGTATGTCCACTCACAACAAGCCCCACCTGAAAAAAATCTGTTTATGACCAAATCGGGGAAAATTGTGACAATCGTTTTTTTTTTATAATGGTAATAACCTCACGAATAGCAATGTATGTGTTGGTTGGTAGGATCATGTAATTCACTCACTTCTGGTTGAAGGTTGGCACTCCATCTGCCCTTTTTTGGGTGGGCCGAGAGGAGAGGAACAGCAGCTTCTTCCACATCCATCTTTGCTTCTAAGGTTTCATCAAGGGTAAGAAACTGAGGACCCTTGGAATAGTCTCTGCAACAATTTCGTTTTTTACAGCAAGGAGTTATCAATGTGTCCGCATCTTCAGGTGCTTGTTCCCAAGATATATTTTATTAGGTTGCATTTATTTTTATCATGGAAATTAGTCATTCCTTGTTTTTGGGGTTGGCTAGCAGTTTTCTTTCGTTGTTTTATCAAAGAGAATGTCTGCAGAAGTAATTTTCATCGCTCTTTTTAACCGTTGGGAACTTGTTGTTCCACCTTGCGCATGTTCAGGGTAGCCGTTAAAAACAACTTGTCTGAGCTCCATATTGGGTTTTAACGTAGTCATCTGTTACATATTAAAAAAAGCTTGATACTGTGGCCATACAATTAAATGTAGAAGGAACCCACCATCAATAACATACTGCATATTGCAGTGATTTTACGTTAAGTGTAAGAAATTGCCATGTGGCCCTAACTTTGCCTAAAAAAAAAACAATTGTTTATTTCATTTCATTGCCATGGAAGTGCTTGTTTTCAATGAGGACAAGTGCTTTATACAGATGTTATTTGGTTCCTTTCTACAAACCGTTATTGTCAAACAACGAGAAAGAGTACGGACCCAGGTCCTAGGACAAGAAGTGTTCTTGTTCTTCATCAGAATTCAGCGACACTGATGTGTTAAAACAATGTGTGATGATGGTTTACGGGTAATAATTAGTTCTCTACTTTAATCGCGTTGTTCATTATGACAAGTGGCTGGTCTTGGTCAGCTTTTCTGAATTTTACATTACCAAAGTTAAACTTGTCTGCAACTCTTTCATTCCGTTTTCCCAAGCACAACGGCAGTCAACCCTGTAGTTAGCATAAACCCATGTGAATGAATTAATAGTTAAAATCATCGTAACATGGGTTGTTTCCATGGA